GAAAGTTCAATCGCATCCGTTGAAACATGGGAAAACTGAGAGTAACTAAGTATTAAAATGTAATTTTATTTCACTGAAATTTTAGCGCAATAAAAATGTGCCGAATTTGTTTTGAGAAAAGTTTGGTCAGTTTATTTGTAACTTACTTTATTTGGCTGTGGCGTATTTATGAGATGAATAAAATGTTTGGAAATTAAAATTAATTCGGCAAGCTAACAAGATTTGTACAAATTTATTTTTTGGACCTGACGCAAATATTGAAAGTAACCAATGAAATTAGCGATATTTCGATATAGTCGATTACCTGAAATTCGTATCGTGCTTAATTAGAGCACACGTGGAAAGTTGGATTTTTTCGAGAATCTTAACCTTGCTGTCTTTTTCCAAGTGTCTTTCTTTCTAATAAAGAGAGAGGAGAAATTTCGAAATCTGTTTCACGTTTCTATCATAAGTTTTGTCATTCTTTCTGCATTTCTCTATTTTGATATCGTACTGTTAGTGTTGGATAACAAGGTCTCACGCCGGGAACTGAGCCGGCTAACTTGCCGCAATACAATCCACTCTCCAGTTCCAGCTTGAACGTATCGTCTTCTACTACTTCTTCTCTTAGTAACTGAGCTCTCCTTCTTCGACGCATTGCTCATTCTTGCGAAAGAGTGACCTCGTCCTTTCATACACGTATAATCTCGTAGATTGGTGCATTTGCAGGACGTGCGGACCATTGACGTTGAATCCTCTTTCAGACGTTTCAACAACCAAGCAAACCTCGCAACATTGTTGCGTATACTGTTTCTTGCTATTTGGTTTAACAATGCTGCGTTAAGTTAGACGTTTCGAGGCTAATCTTTGATAGAATACGAAGTTGCGTAAATGGATAATAGTAAGTGTTTTTTACTGGGTAAAGGTTTTTTTTAAATTGATTTTCAGTTTGGCTATTTTACTCGTTTACAAGTGAATAGGGATTTCAAATTTTTCACAGTGAAATTTAATTCCTGTACATTTTTCAATTTATACTCCTTTTTTGGGACAACGGAGAGTCTGAATTAATTCTGGATTTATCGCACACTATTTGAATTTTATTTTTATGAAGGCACCTTACGAAAATCCAAGGAAATACTACAGCGACGACATGAAAAACGGAAAAGCGTTTTTCTTTTATCAAATTTAGAGGTTCGTTGGAAATACCGATCTAAATTATAAAACTCGACACGAACTTATGGGACGACTGAAGTAGATATTCAAAATACTCGTTGAAACTATAAATTCCATATCGAATCATTTTTTCCAGTGTATCCTAACACTGTCAAAGTGTCTCAATACTCACAAACCTTACAGTCCTTTTCTTACATTCCACAGTATTATTTTCTACACATGCTGCTCCTCCACAACTCTCTCTAAGCTTCAAAGTAAACATTCACCTCACGATCCACGATAATCTACTAATCTATATAAACATATAACGAAAAAAGAAAAAAAGGAAGAAAAGAACTAGAAGAAGCTGAAGGAGTAAAAGAAACGTCAGAGGAAGATGAAAGAGGGGGAACGGGAATGGGAAAGAGAAAAAGAACGGAAACACCGGGAAAGAGAAGAAGGCACTGCCTAACATGGCATACGAAACGATTCCGAAGCGTGCGATTGTTGCGCATCGTGATCACAGCAGCTGACAGTCGATTCTGCGATCTTAATCTGGTCAACATACTCGCAAGAAGGGAGAGAACTGCCAGAACGAACGGAGGGGGGAACGAAGGGGGGAGAGGGAAGGAAACGGGGATGAGGAAAAAATCGGTTGCTCGTCGATTGAGAAGACGGGAATCTGTCTGTCGGTTTATACGGCTGAGAGACCGGATCAAGAACCTTGAATAATTCATCGAGAAAGCGAGACTCGTTGCTTTAGCTTCAGTGCAAGGACTGACGTTGTTCCTTGCCTGTTTGCACTGTTAGTCGATTCGCTTGCAACCCTACCCCTCCTCCTCCACCTCCTCCTCCTCCTCATCCTCGTCTCGGCTATTTCTGACACCCTGTTTCACCCTGTACGTCCGCTTCATGTTTCTCTCCCGAGGCTCCACACGATACGTTGAATTTTTCTTAGCAAGCGTGTAGCTGCCATTTTCGGCTGGATCACCGGTAAAGTAGTTGTTCAGGAATATGTTGTTTCTACGTTGAAGTACAAATCTCTTTGGGGCAGGCGAAAGGGTATGAGACAAATTTTGGGCAAGATAGGACGAGTCAAATTTTGGGCAAGATAGGATGAGTCAAATTTTGGTGCAAGATAGGATGAGTAAAATTTTGGTGCAAGATAGGATGAGTCAAATTTTGGTGCAAGATAGGATGAGTCAAATTTTGGTGCAAGATAGGACGAGTCAAATTTTGGGCAAGATAGGATGAGTCAAATTTTGGGCAAGATAGGATGAGTCAAATTTTGGACAAAAGAGTATCAGTAAAATTTTGGTAGTCAAGAGAAAAAGAGTTTTCTGTAGCAAGAAATAATAATAAAATTATTTAGACATTATTATCTGACGTGACGAATAATCGGGATATTCTCCTATATGTTTTATAGAAGTTCAATCTTGGAAAAGTTGCTGAAAATATAAATGTAGCATTCAAGGAAGTATGTGTGAATATTAGGACACTTTAACATTGTACAAAATTCAAGTTAGGTAACTTTTCATTGGAAACTATAGAACATATAAATTAAAATTATGAAACACATTTTTTTCGTCGATTCTAGCTTCTAAAATAAATTTAATAGCCAACCAACCTAAAAAATTAATTTACAAATAAATTTCTGTGAAATATCCCTTCTTCTTTTCTTACGAAAATGCTGTTTCGTCGTGGGAACAACGTTAGATAGTTCACGCAAAGTTCCTTTGGCTGAAAGAAAAAGCTTTTCTGTCTCGGAGCAGCCGTTAAACGTTCGTACATCCGGATTAGGGATCAGAGGTAAAGAGAGACGTCTTTGAGGTTCTTTTTGCCGCCTAATTGTATCGAGTGTCTTAATCAACGTGTAAGCTACTAAAGTCAGAGGTTCTACAGAGGGTAACCGACTGAAAGAACTTAGCCTCGATGCTCTGCATCTCAAAGGCGAAATTTTCAAAGTGTTTTTAAGTCGCTGATATTATGCCTGCTGCATTTATACTCCCCGAACATGAATTTAGATTGTGACTTAGCCCTATACACGTGCTTCTTTTGAAGGAAACCGAAACGCGGAAGCTATTTGCCTGCGTATCTCTTCTTTATTTCTTTCGACAGCTTCTCGTGCTTCGGCAGAATTATAGGCGGCCGTAAACGAGAGGATTCGAAGCTTAAGCCTTGGCTGTTGTATTCGAGAAAATTATTTAGCATTAACGTCGTTGAATTAATAACGTGTGAATTTTCCTGCGAATCGAAATTAATTCTACCTTTCGTCGATGATGAAATGATTTGTCTTCCTTTTTCTTTGGGCAATTTTACGACTTCGAATTTACCACCCGAGTGCAATCTTTCGATAGTGATCTCTTTCTGAAAGTAATTTTAATTATTTGGTAAAAGTGTGTCGAACGTTATGGAAATTATTTGATAGAAAAATGGAAATTTGTAGAAAATATTTAGTTTCAGTAGTGTT